AGCAATGGCCTCCACCTAATAGCGTCCTTGCTACTAGTAGTAATGCCCTTGCTACCCAGGAGCTACTAAGAGCTTATTATCATGGAGCCATGGTGGCTGCTGTCTGGGGCTCCCGTGCTCATCTAAGGCAGACTGTGAATCGGGCACCACTGCTGCAACCTGATCGGTGCTAAGCAGGTGAGAATTAGTTGGTCTTACAGTCATGTCTTCAACCGAAATCAGGATTCCTTTGCCCATGTTGGTGCAAAGCTGACTGATGAATCCAGCTCACATGCAGGTTAGGCACCGGATCTTGTGTAATTGATGAGGGCTGGAAGGCAATGGATTGGCCTTTGTTGTTCTGTGAATGATTCTTCTGCTGCGGAGAGTTGTTCGATGCATTGTTGTGAGGTGATGCGTGCGCATTTTGCGAGTGCGTTGATTGCTGATGATGCTGGTGATGCTGCTGGTGCTGTTGGGGCTGCTGTTGGACCTCCTTGTCCTTCTCCTTCTGCTGTCCGGGCAGCGCGGCTGTTGCGGCAGCATTTGCCTGGCACAAGAAAAATGTTCAACCATATGTCAACAGCTTCTTTTCATCTCCGACACTCCAACAAATCGCCAATCACACATTCTATCTCCTGAACCCGTCGTTCACACAACCTGAGCTGTACCACAAGAAGTTGTGCCCTAATTCAGCTCCCAGAATCGCCGTTTCCTACCCTGAGTATGCACATGCACCAAAACATGCTTGCAAGCAAAACATGCTGCCCAGTACCACGGCCACCGCGCTTGCTACCTCACCAAGCTGAAAAGGCCGCAAAAGTTCAACAAAAGAATGAGTTACAGTTAAAGAAAGAATACAAGATGGAAAGATTTTTGGCAGATTAGGCTGGTCTTGAGTCCGAAAAACCTTCTCACAAGAGGCCAGGCGAGGGCTGCTGCATCCTTTGACTCGTAGCTCCAGCTAGGTCTTTGTGTATCCACAGGCTGACTCAACAAGTAGTCTTCAAAAGGCGGCCCGATGCAGTGCAGAAAATGATGGGTACACAATACAAACAACCATCGGGATCCGATTCCAGCATTATACAAGTTGTGATTATGTATGTCTGTGGTTGCATGTGCAGTGCTAGAATCTGCTCGGCTGGGTCGATTGCCCGGTCCCGTTTTGGATCGATCGCCTTGGCATCGTAACACACCGTGAACCGGCCCGTGTCGCACCTGAGCAGAAGTACCTAACCGCTGGGCGGTGCCATTCCAATGGGGCGAAGCCTGCAAAAGAGCACATGAGTCAAAAGTTTACAAACAACATCAAGACCACATGAAATCATGACAATACAGGCTGCCTTTTCCCGGTTGACGGTGTTTTTGTCCAAGTGTTGACCTCACCATCCCTCACCTGGTCATTTGGAAAAGCCCTGTAAGCCGCTTGTGGCCTGGCCGCCGAGGGAGGAACTCAGCATGCGCATTTTCACTCTATCGGACTCTGTCGGCCGGTGCAGTTCCCATGTCAAACACCACCAGTCATAAGTCATGCCAGCAGCACGGCTGAATCTCCTCAACCTCGCTATCACCTGGGCACACTGAACAATCAAATCAGAAATCAACCCTATCACCAGTCAAAAATCAAACATGTATATGGACGATGTAGATATGTTTCTAAACTGGGGCCTCACAATTTTTGTCACTTGGGCGTAAGCAGGAAGAGTATGCTTGTGTTGAATAACTTGACGCTCCGAGTTGGTCTTTTGCAACCCGGAGTAAAACTTGAACAAGACTTATTGAAATGGGTTCGTCTATGTCTAGTCTGAACATGTCTGAACTATGACCTTGGTTGACCTACAGGTGGCATCTTGTTCATTGCATTTCGAAGGGAACTGCAAAGAAGAAACCCACTTGACTGTAAAATGGAACCGTGTCACTGCACTTGTTTCCAGCGACAGCTTGCCGGGGTCAACCATGGAGTGATGCAGGGTCGTATGTGTGAAAAACGCAGCATGGCTCAGGTCCACTTGGCACCCAGCTGGAATTCACAGCAGTGAGATCGCCCTGAGACACGTCCCCCGTTTGCGCTGAAATATATAAAGAGATCTGACTATAAGCCTAAGGCCCCAAGCTATCACCCAAGAACAGCTACCCATGCATCTTGTCAACCGTGACCGTGTTCAGAGAAATCTTGAAAAGTCAAAATTTGACGTCTTTGGTACAGGTGGTCTGAATCAGACATTTTTGAGCTGTTGCTTCTTCCCAGGAAGAACAGTCGATGGACACCTTTCTGCGGTTGCCACTGGGGATCCGCTTGCTGCTGGACAACGGGTTCTAGCTTTGTGCAGCCCACCCTCCCTCCAAGTAGCA